ATAGTCCCGTGCTCCCCCACCCCCACTTTTGATCCCACTCCCCACTCCACCCCTGTAAAATGTCTCTGGAATACTGTTGTTCATTATTATACTCCCTCCCCCGGTCCTTTATGCTCCTGCTATGAGTGAAACCATCCGGTATTTTTCTTTTTCTTTCTGGCTTATTTCACTAAGCATGATCCCTTCCAGCTCCATCCATGTTGCTGCAAAAGGCATGAGTTCTTTGATTGCTTAGTAATATTCCATGATGCGTATGTACATCTTTAAAAAAAAAAAAAAAAAGATTTATTTGTGCATACAGAACTGGGGTACAGGCCAGAGGTGCCGGGGTAGTGAGAGGATTCACCAGAGACAGAGAGCAGAACAGGCAGACCTAGGAAGCAGCGGAGACTCAGGAGAGGTCTGTAGCACCATGTGGTCACCTCCGGGGCAGACGGGGATCAAACTCATGTGGAAGTTGCTTTAGCTTCTTAAGAGCTGTGCTTTAAACCACTGCACCACCAGGGAGGGCCCAGTATCATATCTTTTTAATCAAGTCATTTACTTTTGGGCATTTGGGTTGATTCCATGTCTTTCATATTGTAAATAAAGCAGCAATAAACATGGGGATGCAGATGTCTTTTTGAGTCAAAGTGTTTTTTATGTCAAAAAGCCTATTTTTAAAAATTATTTTTATTTATGCTTAGAAGAACTGGGGTACAGGCCAGAAGTGCGGGCGGTGAGAGGATTCTGAAACAGAATGGGAAGCAGGACAGGCAGATTTACTGAAATACACTGCTGAGGGAAGCAGCGGGTGGGACAAGAGAGGTCTACTGCGCCATGTGTGTCACATCCCTGGCTAGCGATCGAACTCTTGCTGCAGTGTCTTGCTTCATAGTGCTGCGTATTAACCCCTTGCACCACCAAGGAGGACTCAGAAAAAGCCTATCGATAGAGTAAGCACCCACACTGCAACCCACCTTTATGAAAACTACTACTTGTTTGGCTTTGGCACAGTAGCAAACAAAACAGATCCACAGTTAACTGAAATAGTTATTAAAATACTCCCACTCCTTTTCCAACAACATATACCAACAAATGTGTAAGGTTGGACTTTTCTATACATATCACATAAAACAACCCTCTCAAGGATGAATACAGAAGCATGTATGAGCCAGCTATCTTCTACTAAGCCAGACACTTAAAAAGCTAACCAAAAAAACCAAACCAAAACAAAAAAACCACACCCCACTTTAATTATATTAACAAGTGTGCCAAAAAAGGAATCTCATGTTGTGCTGGAGCACAATGCATAAATGAAAGGTGCTAAGTTTACAATGGAACATCAATATACCAGAGTACAGTCAGAGGGAGAAATCCACGAGGAGAAATTTCTAAGTATGTAAGCACATTCAATTTACCCAAAAGGCGGCTTAGATTTTACAGCTATTTGTAAGCTCTATTAAAGTCATGAGATCACACTTCTTTTATGGACTGAATGTACAGATCTAACCAGTTTACAAATGAAAAAAACAGGGAAAGGAATACTCTCTCCTGTCTAACTTCACCTTCTATTTCTAGGGTTAGCTGGAAACCAAAAGATGAAGTCTTAACTCTGGACTGAAATGTCTCCCACTCCCCAATTCTGCTTTGTGTGTTCCAGGTTCCTGGGAAAACTTTCTGAACTTGTACAAAGTCTTCCCAGAAGATTAAGGTTAATCTCAAATAAAAACATAAAAAATTTTAAAGATTTTTATAAACATCAGGAACATTTATATTAAACATTCCAAGCATAAATTCTATAACCAATTATTTCCAAGAACAAATTATTTATCACTCATTCATAATATTTCTGTTATCCGAGTCATGAAGACAATGTTTCTATCTATGAAATGATTTCTTTTACTTGGCTTTAGAAATACAACCAGGAAAATAAAAACTCACTTCAGTTAACAGAATTTTCCCCAAAGTAAACTATAAATCAAGAGCTACATTATCATGTATTTTTTTTTAATGTACCAGGTTTCTGGGATGCATCTGTAATACTCCCAAGAACCCCATAAAGGAGTTTCTTACATGTGAGAACAGGGCTCAGAGAAGTCAAAGAACTGGCTCTAGATCACACAGCTAATACATGGCTGAGCTGATATTCAGACTTTTGTTGTCAAACTTTGCAAAATAGTGCCTGGCTATCCTGAGGTTCTCAATGGCAGTCTCCAGAGCTTCCACCGTCTTTAGTGGATCACAGGAAACTGCGTAAGCCACCTGGCACTTGACCACTAAGAATATGGCACCATGGGTTTGCCTGATTTCAGGACCTTTGCCCTGAATTGTCTTGGTAAAACAGTATGACAATGAATCCAAGCAAACTGTCATTTGATGGGCAACAGGATTTTTGAATAAGGTTTTCAAGGCTTTTATAGATACCAGTACCAGTGAAGAGAGCTACTGTGGTTATACTTTTGTTTTTTCTCCCTTTTTAAACATTACTTTCCTTCCACTTTTAAGTCTTACAATATACTTAGAAACTTAGACACGCCAAGCTTACGTCCTACAAAACTCAAGGTTGGAATTCTAAACACCTTAACTGGAACCTGAGAAATACTGAAATCTGTAGTTTCACCAATTTTTAACAAGTACCATCTTCAACAATTTCCATTCATGCTACCTCCAAGTTCCAATGTGCTTGTCAGGATTGATGGCTTTAGGTTAAACACTCAAGGTTTTGTTGCAATTAGAAATGCAAAACCAATAATACACTCCACTTCTCCTGTTAAAGGGAAATGCAAAATCAGGAACACAAAAGGTAATAAACTGCAAACAAAGTACATTCAAGATCTGGTATGATCAGCTCTTGACAGTTTGGTATTTTGTTTTCACTTGCTTTTTGAGCAACAATGCAGTCCCTTGGTTCTCTCCTTGGCTGCTGGAGACATGCCTTCATAGGCTGCTAATATAAAGCAGTTGACCAGTTTCCTGACAACCTCTGTTTATTATGCAAGATAACAAAATAAACTTTATAGAAAAATGTATAGTTATTAAAGTTTAGCACTGACACCCCTAAGGTGTTTTAGAGAAGTACCACCTTACAAAAGTATCAAACAAAGCAAGGCAAAACCGCCTTTCCATTGATGACAATGGTCTATAATGCTTAAGTATCATACATGTACTAAGCAAACTGTCAACACTTTTGCGGATGTGAACATCATTCAAGTAACGACTGAAATGATCACTGAAGAATATCTGGTCAACTATGCTAACATCATGCTAATTTCAGACATCCTAATAACTAATGACTGCTGATCTGACAAGTAATTAAATAACACTGTCTGAAATAGGAAAGGTTTGTCCATGTCTGGACCTCTGTGAGGTTTTTGGATCCACTCCACACACAACTCACCAGTTATCACAGACTTAAAACTACTTTCTGGGGCAAATGGCCAGCAGTTTCATTTGTCTTTCATTATTTGAGATGAGCAGCATATCAACAGAACTTTTCTTTTGATCACTTGTTATTGTTCACGAACTTCCTCAAAACTGCACTTCATTAAAAGTCTAGCTTGAACACCTCAAGTCATCAGAAGAACTGGCAAATTTGTCAAAAGACAATTTAAAAGCCAACTTATCGTAATCATAAACTAACAGAACTCCTTCAATATGCCTTAAATTGAACCACTTTCAAGCAACGTTTTATTGGGTAAGTATGCATAACTAGAAAAAATTTTAGTTATTAAATTTCAAGGTGACTTAAGTACAAATATGACCTCTAGAAACCTACCCCAAAGGCAACAATTTTACATGACATCCAAAGTCTATTTATTTTTTATTAGCAAATAAAATATTCTTTGAAATAACAAGTGGCTCCACCTCCCCCAATTTCCACGTTCTACTGTCATGAATGTTACTGGGTACACTCATATACCTAAACAAGCATTTGTCTGAGCCAGTCCCAAACCAAAGTATTGAAAGATCATTCTTCACGGAACAAAGATACTGTTGGGTTGAAACTCAGGAGACTGGACACCTCAGTAGGTACTATTGTGCTTTTATCCTGGGAAAAGAATCCTTTCTGCATAAGCACACAAAGGCCAAACATGTCCTTGACAAATAGAAAGATGTTTATAGCCTATCTTCTACTTTCTATGAGATAATTTGCATTAAAAAAGTACTCAGTGCGGATTCTTCGAATTAAAACACCATAACCTTTTTATTATCCGGTCAAGTAGTTAGGTTTTAAACAAGGTGCCTCAATTAAGAGTTTGCCCTGTAACCACGATGCGAACGAGGTTAAATGCGATTCCTTCAGGTCAGAAAAAACGAGGGAGAAATAAAATCTGCCGCCAGCAAGCACGCAGAACCTGTCAAAAGGGCACTCTGACCCAAGAAATAATAAACGCCACAATATACTAGTCGAGGGCGCTCCCCACCCCGTCCGAGAATCGGCCCATTCCCGGACTCCAGCTGCGGAATCCCTGCCCCGCACGTAAGAGGAAGGAAATCGGCCCTCTCGGTCTGTCGGCCGTACCTAGCCGGCCGGCCGGCCGCATGGTGATGGGACCAAGACACCTGAAGGGCAGGCAGACAACAGGGGGCCAGACCGAGGCCGGGGCAGTCGCCGGGCAGGCCCCGGCCCCACTCCCGGGCTGCAGCCCAGCCCCGCGCCGGCCCGCCCGTACTGGGGGATGGGGCTGGAAGCGGGAGCGCGTCCTCCCGGGTATCGAGTGCCGCTGCGGCCTGGCCTGGAGGCCAAGCATGGGCCAGGCGACACGTTGTCATCGGCGGAAGGCAGAGGGACGGATCCGCCCCGCGAGCAAGACCCTGGAAGCCTAACCGCCGCCGCCCCCTCCCCGAGCGCGCCATTTCCAGGCCCCGGCCCTCCAGGCGCCTCTCCCAGGCTTCCGCCGGTCCAGCCGAGCGCCTACTGCTCGCCGCTCCGGGGAGCGCGGGAAGGCCGGCGCCCGGGAGGCTCCGTCACAGAGCGCTCCCTGCGCCCGGCAGGGGTGTGCGCACGCCGTCCTCACCCTCTGCCGCCGCCGAAGCTGCTGTAGGCCCGATCGTCGTAGGTATCGAAGTCCGCCATTTGCCGTCTCCGCTCCGTGAGGAACCAGGGTGAGCGAGGAAGGACCCCGCAATATAACTCCCCCCCGCCCCGCCGCCGGGGCTGTCCGCCGCGCCGCCTGATCGCA